TACAGACCATAAAAACCTCCTTAAGGAGAGGCATAATTTGGTGATGGCTGCAGCAATTTTATGCAGAAATTAATGAAGAAACTTCCTCTCTGTGCAAAACAGGGCCTTAGCATACAGATCCTTAGGAATGCTTAAATGCAGGGGTCACCAGTGATAAGCACTAGCAGCAGCACCAATTGCTCAAGTAAAGTATTTTTATTATAATACATTGCAATTTCTTTACTCATTTTACAGTTTTAGCATCAAAGCGAGCAAGTACTATGTCAACTGAGTACACATCATTTCTTTAATGGCGAACCATGCATCTTATTATTTACATTTGCGATTAAGTCTAATCGCAGAAATAATCAAAAATTTGACACTCGTCTATTTCCACCAGAGATTTCTGGGTCTGATAGTAAATAAGTTGAAAAAAAACAAGATGCATTTTTGTGGCTCCATCTCAAAATAGTGACTCATGTCTTCTCTAATACCATTCGCAGCAAAAAAGGAAATGTCCCTACCACAGAAAAATCCTTCATCGGCTTCTCTATAGTACTTTTCCATGTAACTTGAATATAACAATATTTAAAACAGGTTTCAGAGTAACAGCCGTGTTAGTCTGTATTCGCAAAAAGAAAAGGAGTACTTGTAGCACCTTAGAGACTAACCAATTTATTTGAGCATGAGCTTTCGTGAGCTACAGCTCACTTCATCAGATGTATACGGTATACATCTGATGAAGTGAGCTGTAGCTCACGAAAGCTCATGCTCAAATAAATTGGTTAGTCTCTAAGGTGCTACAAGTACTCCTTTTCTTTTTTGCGAATATTTAAAACAACATTCAAATATTGATCAGTTCAACAGAAGTCAGCAACATTATTTGCATAACCAATAGAGTTTATTTAAACAAAGGTGTTACCATTATAGGTACGAAGTTGCTGTTATACAACATTTTATATGTTTCCACAAACTTGGACAGAGGTCTGGCATTTCTAGTCTGGAGTTTTGGAATTAAAAAGGAAAGGAAGTGCGGATATTCTAGCCACAGATAGAGTTCTCCAAATTCTTCTAAAGTGTACCAAGCCACATTACTCTTGTAGTACAAGTCCCATAGCAACACTTAAGACTGGATCAGCTAATTGTAGTGTATAGGAATAGGGCAGTATTCCTTTAAGTCGTTTGTGAGCACTCTAATGGTTTTTACAGTTTTCTATATTTTAAAAGCTATCAGAAACCGCTCAGAACAGCAGTATGCATTAAGCTAGGCCTTGCATGTTTGCATGTAGTTAATAAACAAGATTATTTGGGAGCTCACTGAGCTCAAGCCTTGTGTTCATTTTATATTTGTTGTGTAATGAACAAAACAATAACAAATGCTTTTATATCTGTAACACAGTTAAACAAATGTTGATAAATTTAGCCATTTTTCCTCCTCTTAATTAATCTAACAACAAACCAATGTTCCTATACACATCTTCATTTTTAACTATCGTATAATTTCTGTGAAAACATTATAACTGGATTTGTAACAAACTGATTGCATATGGCTTTTTGTTGATTTGTACATGCATTTCCCATGTTAACTAACAAAATAAAAACTGGGGTAATATATTTATCAGACAAGAAAGGAAGTGGCATAACATCTCTTCATGAAATAACGGTCACAGGGGATGGGATGGCACATGGGGTGACCTGAGATGCGTTATGTCATGTGTGGTTTGAGCGTTGGCCTGCTAAACCCAGGGTTGTGAGTTCAATCCTTGAGGGGGCCATTTAGGGATCTGGGGCAAAAATTGGGGATTGGTCCTGCTTTGAGTGGGGGGTTGGACTAGATGACCTCCTGAGGTCCCTTCCAACCCTGATATTCTATGATTCTATGATTCTATGTACAGTCTGTCAAAACCCTCTTTCTTATTTAAGCTCTATGTACAACATGGAAGTGGGACAGGACCTAACAGATGGCAGCATGTGCAGGAACAAAGCTTCAGATCGGCAAGTAGTATGTCCCAGATCCTTCAGAACAGTCTGTTGGCTGTGGGGATGTGTCATCTGGGATGACCCAAGACCCATTTTGTCAGGTACAGACACTCAAATCCGAGCTCCTTATCTGATTATTTAATTAATAAATAATTAAGTAATTAGTATTTTAATTCTTTATCACATTCAAACACATTAATTTGATGACATTTCTAAAAAATGAGTCTTACATGAATATATTTCAAATAGATTTGGCCTTTGAATAAGGAACTGGGACCCATGAAAAAGGAGCTGGTACCACACCTAAGGAACTGGGAATAAGGAACCAAATTCAGTCTTTTACTGGAAGTGAGAACCAACTGACCATAGCCTGCTATCAAGTAGAGTCGTATAATAGCTGAATAGCTAATAGAGTGAATAGCTTAGCACAAAACGAGTCCTGGGATGTTAATTTTTGGTGGATAATTCACTACTCCACATTTCCCACCTTCAAAGCCCACCCTCTCCTTCCACCCTTCTCCAAAACAGGAATTAATCTCCCTAGCATTTCACTGCAGATCAAAATAGACTGGAGGAAAAGGAGTGACTGAAAAACCTGTTGCCAAGGAGACCCACCTGTGTGTGCAAGGAGACTGGGGGGAGGGAGCAAGCAACAGCTCATTAGTTCTTTACCAAAGGGAGTCAGGGACTCGGCAAGCCCGTGCAGGAGCAAGAGGGGAGGAAAGATGCTCAGCCCTCCATTCTTGGGCAAAGGAATGCCAGGCTGTGGTCCTAGAAGCCCTGTTCTTAGACTGAGAGGAAGGTCGTTCTGAAACACTCCCTGCAGCTTCCAGCCCCTCCCCTAACCGCTTAATGCACATCCCGAGGGGCATGCCATGGCTGGTGAGTGGGTTTAGTGCTCAGGAGAGCAGGGAACAGCAGCAGCAGTGTGAGGCATACATGGTGCAGGCGGGCTCTGTGCAAGCTTCCCCAGCTGCCAATGCACCTCTCAGACCTGACCTATGATGACCCCGACACCTCTCCTGAGCAGAGACTGACAGCCCTGCCACCTGACACATACATGAAGATTAGGCAAGATCTGGGAAATTAATTTCTATGGGAGACCTAAGATAAGACTTGATCCCGGCTGTGCACAGGTGGAAGGGCAGAGCCTTCGTCCATCTTGTCACTGGATCCTCTAGCAAAATTGCTGGCGGCTCCAAACCAGTGAATGACAGAGGTGTTGCAGCTGTCAGATGGCGTGTTTCTCACCAAGTATCTGTGCTGTTTATCGGGTAAATAAAGAGAAGATGTACATCTGCTGCCTGTCAAGTGCAAGGGTGAGGAGCTGTTTACCAACCTAGGGCTCTGCTCAGCTTGGACGCAGCTGTGTCTGCTGGACCTAGTGGGAGTCCAATCAGGCAGCCCTCTGCCACTCTGCTGGGTGCAATTGGGATTGATGCTTCGGAGCCCATCTGTGTTCTCCTAATGAATCGCATGGGAACGGGAGCTATTCAATTTGTGCTCCATTAATTAAGAGTGTCTGATATCAGGGGAGCCAGTGCTTCCTCCAGGGTTTGCATTAAACAGCCAGCAGGAAGGCACAAACTTTAATTTACTGCAACCCTGGCCAGCTCCTGCTAAAGCAATGGACTGTGGCTAATGCAGCCTGAATCTTTCAACCCACAAGCAAATGATAGCCACAGAGAAAACAGCTAATGCAATGGCACTCGTCCTGTGGCTGGGCAAGCATTCTGGCAGCAGCGTTGGCATGCTGGCCTGGAAAGCCACCTCTGCCTTTTGTTCCCTGCCTCTGCGAAAAGATGCTATTCACCTGTTTATGCTCATGCTGTTCTTAGAGTCCCCTCTGCTGGCCCTTCTATTGAACAACACCGAGATAGGATTCAACCCTCACTGGATTTCCATTTCACACAGTCTGAGGTGAGTGCGAGTGTGATCACAAAGAAAAGACCATGGGGAGAAGGCGAAGGGCCAAAGGCATCCCAGAATGAAGACGTGGCAAAAGGACCTTCCAACTCACCAGAAGGAAAATTAGGAAATGTTGCTTTATTTCCAGGTACAACTCTCTTCGGACGAATCTCGGGTCATAGAGCTGAAGTCAAACTGGCTGATACAGTAAAAATGCGTAGTCTGGCTTATCACTAAGGAAAAGGACTTCCGCATGATTTGGAGATTCTTTGTAGAAATCCACCTTATGTCACTCTGGAGCCAATCTCTACTGGGGCAGCCATCACAAAGCTGCGTGCTTCAGGACCTTTCTATCAGTCTAGGCATTTATACTTTGCCCATCGTCACAGAGAACTCAGCATAGGAGAGGGACAAAGGCAAGGGAAACCTTTGGTGACTGGAGAGAAGGTACACTGGGCCCTGCATAGCAGGCTAACAACTGCTCCAGCACTAATGCTCCCAAACAATCCATACAGTTAAAAGGCATGTTGGTTCTTCAGTAGTTCGCATTTTCCTCATGATCATATAATTTAAAGCCAGCTGGGACAAAGCTCTGGATAATACTCTGGAGCACAATCCTGCATCGATGGGGGGATGGGCCAGGTGACTCAATCCATCTTTTCCATCTCTAATTTTTGAACAAGCTTGTCCATTCCTTTGGCATGGGGCTGTTCCCATTGTTTCATGTTCTCTATGAATATAAATCTCCCCACTGTAGTTTCCACTGAATGCATCCGATGAAGTGAGCTGTAGCTCACGAAAGCTTATGCTCAAATAAATTTGGTAGTCTCTAAGGTGCCACAAGTCCTCCTTTTCTTTTTACAATGGGGTGGGTGGTGAAAGAGGCAGTCAAGGAGAGGACTCCCTGTACCACTCCGTACTCAAGGCAACCTGAGCAGTCACTACTGGGATGAAGACAGGCACTACCAAGAATGCCATGAGGGCTGATTGCCAGCTAGGCTGAGCACTCAAAGCTCCCATTAACTTCAAGGGCAGCTGTGGATGGTCAGTCCCTCTGACAATCAGGACCTACAGTTCACTACATCACCACCCCCTTCACATGAACACCAATCAGCACCAAGGACCCCTCTCACCTTTATGTTGTGCTCACTCTCTGGATACTTGTCAGTGTCTGATCGCCTCCTCTCCACTGTTCTTCTTTCATCCACCTATAGGGATACAGAAGAGACATGATTCACGATTGTGCATGGACTCTAGAGTGAGAAATTAGTGCCAGGCCTTTGAGCAACTGTGCAAAACCAAAAGGGATTTCTCAGGAGACAAAAGGCGAACAGAAGAGTCAAAGTTGGCTCCTGCTGCACTGAGTCAAACCGGCACTAGCAAGGGAAAATGGGGCACCAAGACGCAAGAAGGACAGCAGCAAAAGGGGACACATTCCCGTTGATCTCTCTACTCCACCATGCTGCCAAAGAGGAAAGCTGATCTAGAGAAAGCTTAAAGCACCAAAAACCAGTTCCTCAAAGGTATTTCAGTCGGGGTTAGGTGCCTAAATAGCCTTGAGGCTCTGTAGTGGAGTCAGGGTACCAATTGCAATCTGGTTAAATGTTGCTATGGTAAAGTTGGGAGGTGTTGGAGGGCTTTTCCTTTACTCTTTCCCCTGGTTCTTGTTACACAGATAGAAAGCAGAAGACCAGAACTTCTAAGTGCAGGCAATGCGATGTTTATTGGGATTAGTTTTCAGCAAACATGTGTCCCATAACTTTGACGCCGCAGAGCCTTGTTTTCCAGTGTTTCCTACTTCCCTCTTCTTAGCAGCCAAAATTATACTTGTAATGCACACCCACAGTTCCACCCTTTACAACTTATGGTCATGTTCTGTTTTGTGGGGTCGTAGGTCTAGGGTCTTTATTCCACCCCCTTTTGTACCCCACGGGAGGGGTAAGGAGTGAGGTTGTGCTACAGTCAGGGGCAGGCATTTTTTTGGTCTTTTAGTGTTTTATCTTTCCCCCCAACCCTCCCTTGCCCCTTCTGACTGGTTGCTTGACCTTGCTTTGAGATAAGGAGTTGAGGCAGTTCTTAAGTGTGCGGTTATATATTACACTTCCACCATGCCCAGGAACACTTTCACTGCTTTTATTTGGTCCCATTATACTAACAAACCCATTTGGCTTAGGCAAAAGCAAGATATACAGTGTCTGTCTTTGTCCTTAGTACGGATCCCTTTGTTCACACATATTAGTAAGAATGTATGTATATTAAAAATCAAACAGGCAAGCCAAACTTAAAATACTATTTTAGGAAAAACTACAGGTCTGGATCCTACATTGGCACTAGTACTCCTAACAGGATGTGCCCATGTCCCTGTATCCAGGCTAAAGTCTTGACAGTCCAGCTCTCTAACACGCTTAGAGGGACACAATTAGGTCCCATCTCACTACCTTGAATTGTATTGTAACAGATCTCCAGACCGTTGCGGCAGAGATGGTGCCTTGGAGTTACCCTCCCCACTCTTAGTGAACCATGGACAAAGCATTAAGCAAATGAAACAGACAGTTTTCTGGCCCACTGCAAGTACATGTTCTGACAAATACAGTCAGCTATGGACAAGGCTGGCAAAGATCACAGGGGATCCCCCCTGAACACTGATACAGGAGCCCTGGCACCCCTCCTTGGAGATCATGAAAACTCCACCCAGTTTAAGCCCTTCTTCCATGAAGGGCCTGAAGTCAGCTCAACCCGTGGGATCCCTTTGGTATTAAATTGATTTACTGTAACGAGCACTATTCTCTACTGCATTGCCTCCACTGCCTGTTACCCTTTTGTTGCCATCTTGGGTGATTACAGATCACATCTATAGGGCCTTCAATGACAGGGTGTCAAAGTGCTTTGTGGGTAAATAAGACTAGCTTTGGAGTCTCCCTGTGAGATCACTGATCATTATCATCAGAAACCAGGGGTCTGAAGCAGGGATAGGTTAAATGACTTGCCAAAGGGCACAAAGGAAGTCTGTGGCAGAGCTGGAATTGAATTCATGGCTCCTGACTCTCAGACTGTCCTTCTGAGGAGGCAGTTCCTGCTGGTTCCTTCAGTGTGACATTTTGTTTTTGTGGTGCCCTTCCACCCCCACCCTTTTCTCTTTGATCACTGGTTGTTACTTGCTCCATCTAGCCCCAGCGCAGTCCTGAAGCTCTCCTGCCTCTTTCCTTCCCTGTACACTCTTCCCTCTCACTTGTGGACTGCAGTACTTGTGCTTTATTTTTAACTAGGAAAGCAGAAACGTGCCCTTCTCCAAGGCAAACTGCAGTGTCACTTGGTGCAGTGTTACTTGCAAGAGACACCAATGGAGCAGCTGGTAACCTCCGATAGGAGCGCAAGCTTTGCCACATTGCTCCTTCACAACTCTAGCTTGGTAGTGAGACCCAGTGCTGTTTCCTGAAACCTACTCCAGGGACAATCAGAGCTTGGAAACTTCATGAAGTAGAAACATACTGCTAGTACCATTTAGAGAGTACATTCGGTGTGGAGGCAGTAGGGTAGGGAATTGCATGACTTTCTTAATGCCTCCAGGCAGCAGCAGGGACATACAGCATGGGGCGGGGGAGGGGGAAGACTTTAAGAAAAAACTCAGGTCACAGAATCATAGAGTGTACAGCTGCGCGTGTGTGTCACGCTCACGAAAGCTTATGACGGGAGCACAGTATACAGCAGAGGGAGGCTAGCACCCACTTGCAAGAGTAGCAGGGAGTGTGAAAACCATCAGCCCTCCTGTGTCAATTTCTTTCAATGTTAATCTCTTGTGCCTGTCAAATAAAACAGGAAGGGCAGGCAGGAAAGAGGGCGCTTGTTAGATGCGCCTCTCCTATTCTCCCTACCCTTCAACTCCTCAGACTCCACTATTATAAACAGCAATCATGTGAAGGCTGGGACAGGTTTAGGGCTTGTCTACACAGGGGGTTATTCCAGAATAAGGTAAGGTGTGAATTTAAAGCACTGGAGCTATTCCAGAGCAAGAGTGGCCGCATGGGGAGCTACTCTGGAACAGCTCTACTGCCTTAAATCCACCCCTTGCCTTATTCCGGAATAACTTCCCTATGTAGACAAGCCCTGAACCTCAGGAAGGTAAAGGGTCCTCACTTGTATCTGTTCTTTGCTATGAGACCCTGCTGCCTAACTGGGAATGATCCTGCATCCCCTCACTGGAGAATCACACAAACTGTGGGATCCCTGGATCGCTGCCTCATTCTTACCAACCAGCGTTTGGAATGGAGAACTGCCAGTGCGAAGAAAAAGCAGCTCCAGTGGGTGAACCACCAGCTGAAGAAACTTCAGCAAACCCCACTGGCCTGATGACGATGACACAGCCGCAACATCCTGCTCTGTGTACTGCCCCCAGCTGCATCCCTACTCGAGCTGCCTCGGCTGCCCACTGCTTGCTGCTGCATCACATGATCTTTGGCACATTTTGCTGCCAAATGACACAGCATTTATCACTGCAGTCACCCCCAGTTTTGGCCGCATAGGGGCTGACTGCACAAATTCCACATGGATGTAGCAACTTGTTATTTTGCAGCAGGGAGACCAACAACCCCCTCAGGAGTGGCACGGCATCGGAAAGGCAAAATTGTAGCCAAGGGATTTCCAAAATTGCACCCAATCCTCTATGGGAGTGTTACTGGAAAGTCACGTGTGGCCCCAAGGCCATCAGCTCGCCTGAGTTTTGCACATGAAAGGAAAACAAAAATATAAAGAGCAAATTCACAGCACAAACAGCTTGGAAATGATAACTCTGTGAAGTCATGTCTGAGCTGAAAACAGGAATCCTATTCTCGCTAGTTGCTTAGTGCGATTTTTAGACAACAAACAAAACTCTTAGATGCCATAGAGGATATTACTGAAACAAGGCAAAGGGTGATGAGGAATTAATTAAAATGCTGAAACTATAGGGCCTGATTCTGCTTTCATTACACTGATGAAAATCAAGTGGCATTCCAGTGAAACTTTCCAGCCAAGTTTCTATAGCACATAGCATCCGGAGCACCTTAACTGAAATTGCTTGGAGTTACACAGCACAATCAAGGCGAGTGGGATCAGAATTGGCTAACAGAGTTTGAAAGGACGCTCAGAAATAAAATTAGGAAGGTGTTGCGTGTGCTGTTGTGGAAAAGACTCTGCTCCCAGAGGAGCCATCCCAGGGGGCAGTACAGTGAGAGAGGACATTAGCTAGTTAGAGAACTGTGTGAATACTCACTCAGTGCTGACATGATCAGTAAAGCTCAGAGTTATTTCAGTATCTGGGCTCTGATTCAAGAAGCCCTGAGCATCTGGGGACACATCAGTGATCTGCAGTCTACATTTCAGGTGTTGCACAGAATCCACCACCTATGGCCAGATTAAGGCATAGGCACCCCATTGGCCTTACACTTAGCACACCAGTTCCCAAACTTACATGACGAGATCAGAATCTCCACTTTCAAGTTTTTAAAATGATGTTTCTATCTCTCAGGGGTGCAAGGAGAAGCTTGAAAATGTGCCCCAAGTGTAACTGATGCCTGCCTGAGTCTGCAGACAGCTTGAACCTATTGCTCCAAGAGATGTGAACGGCCCCACTCATCTTAACTGAACCTGCTGCCAACCCAAGGAGGGGCAGTGCTACAACACTGTGAGGGAGGGGCATGAGGGGCCCATATGGGTTGTGCCGAAAGCCCCAGACTGCCTTAATTCAACCCTGCCACCATCACCATCACAGCCTCTGTCTGACCACTCTAGCATGAAAGCTTCCCACGCTGCCAAGCCTCTCCCTTTGACTTAGCGCCAGGCATGATCATGCAAGCCCAGCCACAGAGAGGGCATTTTCATGTCCCTTGGACGCAATAAAAACTCTGGCCAGCATCTTCTGTGTGCTAGCGACACTCCCCACTATCGCAGCACTTTATTTTAAAAGCACTGTACGAACCTTAACCCCCTGTTCCACACAATGCCCGTGTGAGGTGAATAACGTTATTGCCCTTCTACACATGGGGAAACTGAGGCACAGAAAGGTTAACACCCAACCGTGAGACAGTCACTGCACCAGGATCAAGAACCCCTGTGCTCAAGCCGCCATCTGTGCTCCCAGCCCTTTGCTCCGGTCACCAGATCATGCTGCCTCTCAAGCCTATGCGCCAAGTAGGAATTGTCACATAGATGTTGATGGCAGCATTGGTGTTTC